TTATGTCACCGTCAGCGTGGACCAGGTGCGCGTTGGGCAGACCAGCACCAAGCAGAAGACCAACAAACCTACCTACAACGAGGAGTTCTCTGCCACGGTCACCGACGGCCATCAGATTGAGCTGTCTGTCTTCCACGACACCCCCATCGGCTACGATGACTTTGTGGCCAACTGCACCTTGCACTTCCAGGACCTCTTGCGCTCCGCAGGCCCCAGCGAGAGCTTCGAAGGCTGGGTGAGTAGCCGTCTCGAGGAGGAGCTGGAGTCGTGCTCCTCTCGGAATGAATGAAGGTGCTCGAAGTGGACTTGCCGAGCTGGGGCTTGTCCTTGCACGCCTGTGCTGCAAATGCACGCAGCCTGGCGTGCGTGCCTGCGTTTACACAGGTGTACCTTCGTGCGTCTGCTTGGGCTCCTGTGCTTTCGTTAGAATGCTGTGTAGGGTGCTGTTCCAGTGGGTGCATTTTGGGACCCTAAGAACAGAAAGTCTCAGCTGTCATAGCCTGAGGGTGAAGACCCTGTAGCTGAGGGCTGTGGAGTCTCTCCTCTTTGTAGACCAGCAGAGAAGAGACTTGCAGTACATAACCAGCAAAGTACACCTGCGGACTCACACGGTTGTGTCCCTTCCCTCTTTTGCTTGGCACGCAGGGACGTACTTGGGTACCTGAATCCTGGATCTGCTCAGATCTACACATGCTTGCACAATTGTTTGATGCGTGCGTGCAAATTTCTTTGACTTCTTAACCGAACGGCAGGACGAGTCTTGTGTCTGTTATGTACACCGCTGCGCTCGTTGAACACAGTTTCACTTACAGCTAATTCTAGGTTATTTCCAAGTAGATGTCACTTGCATCCGGCCCAAGAGAACCTCTTTTATGGCTTAGTCCTAATGGTAACTGAAAGGAATAGTACAGGCTCTAAAGTTGTGCCTTTGCTTCCAGTGCTGTAAAGGAGAGGGAAGTGGCAGTATTGATCCAGGCAGTAGTTTGCTTATAAGTATTAGGGTTAAATAAAAAAAAGGGGGGGAGGGAGCATCTCTTCTGGGTAGAGGAGGTGCAGAAAAGTTGAGAATTTCCGAGGTTAAGACAGATATTAACTTTTTGAGGCCAGGAAGTTCAGCACGCGTGGTCAGGTAACCACCACAATAAAATCAGCCATGGAGGAAAGGGAGCTGACACTGCAGAGAGCAGATAGGCATCTCGATCGTATCGCTGGGGCGAGCGCTGGTGCTTTCTGTTCTCAGCCGGTGTCTGTGACTGAGGCGTGATGCTGCACCTCTGGGGTGATTACAGGGAAATACCAGTCGCAGGGTTGATTAGTAGGTGTATGTTGGTGCTATTTTTTCTTTTTTCTTCCTCCTTAGGGTGTGCTTAGGTACCTATGGATAGGCTTGAGGTTCATGCGCTAAAAGTGGTCTCTCCCAGACAGTTACTGATGGGGTTTTGTGTCGGGCAGAGGGATCCAAGCAAGCCACTGACGAGCTGGCTCAGGTATTGCTCCTAACAGTTCATGGGGGTTTGCTCAGTGAGTACGTACCCGGTTTCCCGGGCTGGTTGTGCCGCTGGAGAGAAACTGCCCCTGGGACTTGTGCAAAAAAAAATAAAAAAATTTAAATACAGAACAGACCCCTGTGGGCCAGGGCAAAGGAGCGAGCTCAGGATAGAGAGCTGTGGTTCTGAGGGTTTTCTGCATGTTTGATTTGCTGGGGGTGTTTCTTCTCTGCTGTTGAGAGAGGCCCTGTCCTCTGAGGAGGCCGAGTCCCGCTCACGCTGGGTCTGCCTGCACGGGGGATTGGGCTGCTCTGTTGCAAAGGTGGTGGCCTTCTTCACATTACTAAAATGTCCGTAGTAATATTGCCCCGGGTGTGGATGCATGCTCGTCCAGGGGCCCACTGTTTCTTTCGTTTCATCCATCCTGCAGTGCTGATTTTTAGGGCAGGTGAGGTCTGTGGCCTGAAATGCTCGTTTGGTCTTTGGCGAGGGAGAGGTTTCTCATCCCTGCTGTGGATAGGCACCTGTTTCGTGAACTCCTGCACCTGTGAGTTGATGGGTGCAATGGGGTGGGAAATCAGTGAGGTTTTTTAACTGATATAAACTGATGTTATATCTGGGCACGTAGGACAGAGGCTAAGAGCTGCTGCTCTCCTTTTCAGTTAATGCCTAAAAATTACAACTGAGGTGAATTTAGTGGGGAGTGAGCAAGCGTGCATCATCTGTTCCCCTTCTCCTCTTCCCTCCCTCTTGACTTGCTTCGTTAGCATCTTATGTAGCGTGCAGCTGGGATCACATGATGACAGGGAACAGTATCTTGCCCTGAGAATTTAATATGTCTTGATAAATCTAGCAAGGCTGTCACGGGGTTTTGTGTAATCAGAAGGATAGGAAATGCTGGTTTGTACTAACCCAAGGTCCATGAACTTCTGGCATGATACAAGACACCGCAAGGGATCTGTGGCTGATTTGCCACACCTCCACTCTGAAATCCATCGTACTGCCCTTCTTCCATCCCCAAAGGAAAAGCTCATAGAGGCAAGGAAGGAGTGAATGGGGTGAAGGGAAAATTGGTGAATCCTCAAAGTTTAGCCTGGCTTACACTTACTTGGCTGTGCACGATTTTTCATTTTGATTTGAAATTGAATTTTTACAGTCACTTTCCAGAAGCAAGGACAACAATATATTGGTAAACTCCAAATGCTCCTTGAATTGATGACAGGCAAACAGGGCAGGGCAGCTGGCTGGAGAGCTGAGCCGCCAGGGATTACCTGGGACAGTCCCCCAGCTCACGTGCCTGGCCGGAAAGTTTCAGCGTGAGCTCTTGGGCTCAGGCTGCTCTGTTTATACATGTGGATTTTTCTCCTGCTGGAAAAAACAGAAAAAAAAAAAAGTGATTAATTGTAACGTGGGTCACCACCTCTTGTGACAGCGGCAGGAGGCGTCAGCGAGAGGCAAGGAGGAGCAGTCGGTATGCGAGCACTGGTGCTTCCCCGATGACTTGCAAGTACATCAATGCAATTATGACCCCAAAAACTTACGCAGATGAGTCAGTGTAGGGCCACGAACTGTCTCATCAGTAATGCTATGCACCTGAGTCATCCCACTGGGTACTGGGACAGAGTTCTCTGTTTGTGGGTTGCATTGAAATCCACATTCCAAAGACTCTTCAAAAGCGACCCTTTTTCTTCTAACCATTTTGATTGTTTCTCTTTCTAGTAAACACCTTAGCACAGTCTGGATGTTTTTTAATTTGTGTATTAGTTGTTAAACACATACTAACTTTACACGGATCAAGTCCGTAAGAGCTTACTAACTTCAACATCCTTCTCTCTGTTTCCCCTGTTTTATATTTACTCGTCAAGTTGCGGAGCAGTAGTTTTTTATTAATGTTGTCAATTAAATGCCATCGTGCCTTCAGCAGGCTTTAATGCAGTTAAAACCGGGAGCGAGAGCTCCAGTACCATGTTCTTTCTGGTAGGCGTTTTCCTGTGTGGGTGTGAAATTGTGCAAACCTGAATGGTAGCATTTTACACAGGTGCGCGTGACCCTGCCGGGTGCAACGCAGTAGAGAATTAAGCTGGCTGCTATCTGAAAGCTGTTATGTTATGATTTATATCGGGGTTGAAACTTGTCTTTTAAAGCGTTTGATTTTGCACTAGCATGCGCTAAGGTCTTTTTACTTGGCATATGCATCTTTAAGAGGTAGTGTCTCCTCTTTAATGGGGTGCAGTATTGGAAGCAGTCATACGTCAGTGAAACAACATATATAATGAGTTGTAACTGAAAGGGGAGATGTTTACAATACGTAGCATTATGCCTATGAGTTTTATGTAGTAGCTGAAGTAATTTTTAAGCTTGAGGAAGCGCTATTTACAGATACTGAATTACATTGTTACTAGGGAATTATTTAATTACGATTGTAAAAACTCTTAGTCCCTGGGCAGAGGTGCTGTATTTATCTAGGACTTTAACAAGGAGTTAAAATTAAACCTTGGTCTTGAAGTAGCAAATTATCAGAGTATAACGAAGGAAATCAGATAACAGATGCAGTATAAGATTAATGAGCCAATCACAACTTCCTGATGAGTTTGTTACCATTTGCTCATGTGTGCAGGAAGGGATTAAGACAAATAATTCTCATGCATTCCTTAACTCGGGCTCTTTTGCCTCTATCCTTTCCTATGATTTTTTTTTTCTTTCTTAAGGCAAACAGAATTGTGTTTTACCCATGTTTATATGCAATTGTATTTATTGAAGATTAAATTGAAGAGTTAAAGGAGAATGCAACTTCTTCCCCAGAGCATCATGACCTTGGCAGACAGCCAGGGTGCTGCAGGTCAAATACGATACGATTGCTTCTTGTTTTAACTCCCACTTTGCTGCAGAGTGTTCTCCAGGTAGGCAAAACTTGCATCAGGAAGCGAAAAATACCTCAGCTGTTGACAGATGCAGTATTTTGTGTCTGCATCAGCCTGTGCCCACCTGTAGAGATGGACTGCAGCTTGTGGAGTGGGAGTAAGTGGTGTTTCCTTCCACAGGCTGAGATAAGGAGCACCAGCAATCTGTCCATATGATTTTGATTTCCATGCCCGCAGCAAGCACGTACGTACTGCAGATCTCTGACCTGTGTGAAAGTCAGACTGCACGTTAATTGCAAGCTAGGTTAGAGTAAACTAAGCTCCTTCCCTGGTTCTTCAGAAGTTTTAAGTTGTTTCTGTAATTATTATTACTGATACACAGTTACTATGTTGAATGGGAATAGTGGAGGGAGAAACACCAGCTGCAGAAGGCAAGATGGTTTTTGAAAGGTACCAGAATTTTGGCTTCTGTTTCTTTCCTTTGGAATACAGCAGCCCTTTGGCCCTATGAACAAGCCCTTCAAAATGCCAGCAGAGTCCCGTGCACCAAGGCTACCCGAGAGTGCCCTGCAGCCTAAAGCAAAGGCTGTAATAAATAAATAAAGGAAAAATTGTTGCTATTTGTCAGGTATTAAATAATCCTGGGGTGTGTGACGCTAATAAGAGTTTTACTGATCAAGGCAAGGAGCTGACTATGTCACGAAGAACTGCACCTTTACTGCCCTGTTCTGGGACCAGAAGTGGAGCTAATTAGGAGTGTGATTTCTCGCTCATCCATGAGCTCCTCCCCAATAAATGGCCTGTCTGGCAACTGTGAGTGTCCTTGGAGAACATAACTGTTTTGCTTAAGAGCATGTTAGGCTGGAAAGATTTGGTCAAAGCCTGAG